TGGGGCCCCGGGCGGCCTGAGCTAGTGGGGGGTGTCCCTGCCCATGGCAGGGGGCTGGAACTAGACGATCTTTAAGGTCCCTTCCCACCCTGACAATTGTAGGATTCTACAGATTCTGCAGACTTGCCGAGAGCATCGCAGCTGTGTGACCACACTGCCTGCAGCATTCCTCAAGAGGAATATTACGGGTAATGATCTAATGGCTTTCCTTAAATTTCTTACCAAATAAATATCTAGCAAATCACATCTCCCATTTAAATAAATAGGATGACTGAATGAAGCCTTTTCATTTTCTGAAATAAGAACAATGTCTTTGATAAATAGACACGATCTGGTTACATAATCTGTTTCAGGTTAAGATCACTTTAATATTGTTTTGCAGTCACTACTTCAGCTGCCTCTTCCTATATGATGCTTATTACCAGAAAAGCAAGCAATTACCGAGACAATCTCGTCCTCTGCCGGTACAGTTGCTGCTGATAGTGCTGCTGCCAGTGCTGCTGCCCTGGCTGCCTTCCTCATCGCTCTCTGAGTCTGAAGGTTGGTAAAGTAGTTGACAGCTGCAAACTCAATAAGTGCCGAGAAGACGAAGGCGAAGCACACAGCTATGAACCAATCCATGGCGGTAGCATAGGACACCTTGGGCAAAGAATGGCGTGCGCTGATGCTGAGAGTGGTCATGGTTAGCACTGTAGTGATTCCTTGAAAATAAGAGAAAGAGGGGCGTTAGAATTTTGCTTCAAGCCTGCTGCTCTCAAATTCATCTATATTAAAAAAATATATAAATTCCTTTTTTGTTTTGGCCGTCATCCTACATACCGGCTAACCAAGGCTGCGAAGTGTTTTGTATTCTTCAGTAATTCACTTAGACTGCCTTCAGGATCTAAAAGGTCTGAACAAACTTCCTCAAGACATTGAAGAGACCGAAAATTAACTACATACGACACGGCGCAGATTCTGAGAGTTGTGATAAACACGGACATAACAAAATTCAGGCTCAAACTACAGAAGACCCTTTGCTTGCGGGGTTACCAAGTGGAATGTTTGGTAAATGTCTAGATTAATGTACTATCTTTTCCCAGCAGCGACCCTCTCCTTCTCCTGTTGCTGCACAGGATGGACCACGGCTTACAGAGTCCCCACAGAATCAACTGACTCCTGCGCTACAGTCGGGGGTAGGCTACAATGCAACTGTTTCAAACGATGAGTTTGGTCCTTCGTGCTGTTGTCTTTCATCAGTGGGTACGTTCTTTAAGACTCACCAGCAGTACCTTGGTTTGAAAGCAGCCGTAGTTAAAAATACGAGAGGATGGGAAAGCTACTTCTCTCAGGCTGCAGGTCTATTTTCACACAACAAATCTGGTCTTGTAGTTTATGGGCCCCGTAGTGTTCTTCACACACATTCATGAATTTATTCTTTCTGTTTTCGAGTGTACAGCATTAATAATGTAGGAAATACAGTTACTTCCCACTGCTGCCTGATACAAGCAAAAAGTGCAAGAACAAATTCATTACCATACGAGCCTCTGTGACTCATGTTTACTTAAAATTATGCCTGCCGGAATGTGAAAGCTGCAGGTATTTAAAGGGAGGCAAGTGGAGAAGAGGCTCTTATGCTCTTTTCTGCAGCTGGGAAAGGGTAGGTGGGGAAGGAAAAGATGTTGTTCTAACACCACGTTGTTGTGGTGATGAATCAATATTCTCTGAATGAGGCTGAGCGGGAAGGATGCAGTGTCATTGCACGCCGCAGCAGCAAAACAGGGGGACTCGGTTATTTTCAGAGCTTTTTGCCACTCTGCTGTGGCTCGCCAGCTGTCTTGAGGTGAACTACGTCCCAATGTCATTACTTGACAGGTTTTAATGAAATGCAAAGAGGAGATGGTATAAAAAGACATAGGATCTCTACTTCTCCCACATCTGCCAGACTCATTATATAATATGAATGCAAGTATGCCGAGATATATTACAATTTCAGCGGTCCAGAATGAACTTTTCAGTATGATGTGTGATTAGATTAGAATCTGTCCATGTGCTAGTTAGTAATAAAAATGATATATTCTGTGTCTGAATAAAAACTTGCTGTAGGAATTTAAACTTAGGAATAGGACTCCTATTCTATTACAGATATAGATAAGACTTCTCTCACTGTGGAGTGAATATTGATTAAACGCTTTGCGCTGTGGAAAACTACTTAATCAAACCCAATGCCAAACTAGAGTTGGTAAACTGTGCAACTGCTGATGATTATTTACTCTTGTCTTTCCACTCTGAACACGTCTCAGGAAGTTTTGAAGAATCTGCTACCTAATGCAAATACTAAAGTATGTTACTTTATGAAAAATGGAACACCAAAACCACCCAAACAACTCCCCCTATCTGAGATTTGACTGTAAATAAAGTTGAATGGCTAGATATTAAGGGAAAATTCCCAGGGTGACCTGCTAGGAAAGTAGGAGCTGACTACTGTCTTTCTGCAAAATAACAGGTCAACTGTTTGCCAAGAATAAAAAAAGATTAGATAAAGGCACATAAAAATGAGAAATAATAGCCACTGCTATAAGGATTCAGAACACGCTTAAAATTAGGCTTCCAATAACTACATTTCTTATTCTAAGTAACTCCTGATAATCCCATGCTTCTTAAAACTCCACACTTATATAGATATTTGTGGATGTGCATGGCTATATACATAACTCCACATAAAATATTTTCTCTTTTTTAATGTGGCAATCTCCTGTTCTTTCCCTTGACACAATTCTAAGGAACGCAAGAGTGCCTCTTCAAAAATTTCTGTCTCTCTTTTCTGATTCTCAGGCCTGTAAAGAGGAGGTGACTATGACCATTAATTCATCTTTACAAAATGTTCAGAGTATTTATTGTAACGTTACCTCCAAAGGACAACTGACATCCACTGCAGAGGCAAATACAGTTGCTAAATGAATTTGTTCTGAGAAAATGGTCTGGGCACACCATTGCTAATTCTTCTACTATTAATATTCCTTCTCTCAAACTTAGAGTTTGGGAATTTAGAGGTAAAACTGAAAATTCATACTTGGAGTATTTGCAATATGATGCAGAAAGGAGACTTACTTCTCCATTTTAAGCCTTTTCTGTGTCTACCTTCCTGTTTCTGTAAAATATTTTCTGTTTCTTATTCTGTATTTACCCTTCAGTACAACATCTGAGAGCTGTTATTCCAGGGTTTGGGGTCACTTACGTAATTATTACTTCATCAGTTGAAGATTTATTTGCACGTTGCTTCAAGCATATAGAACTGACTTCCACTGCCCGCTAGGTAGTAAATATGTTTTATCCGAAATGTAGAGGATGTAACCCCATAGTCTTAGAGGTGCAATATAAAGCCAGCTCAGGCAGCTTCGTATTTGGTGTGCAAACCTCCTGTATATATTTTATTCTTTGACTGCAGTAAACATCCTTGAAAATGGATCGCCTGATATTTTAATATTTTTAAAGCGCTTCAAGAAATCCCTACTGCCAGGAAGTAATACTTGCAGGTGCTTAATGATGCCAAACTGCATCCCAGCTTCCAACGGGGGTTTCACGAACAAAAGCGTTGATCTTCCTTTCAGAGGCACCAGAGGAAGTTGTGTTTACTTAGCATTCCTAAAAGTTTGCAGGGCCTTTATGAAAATGGTAGGAAATTGCAACTGGCTGAAATCAAATTATACAAATCCCGTAGCCTGCGAACTACAGTTAGAGACTCGGTCTGAATTATGACACTTGCATCATTTATGCGTAGCGAGCATGTAGCTGTCGTTGTGTTACTGAAGACAAGTCTCACAAAGGGATTTCTTTGCAGAGAAATACCGAGTTAAGAGAAAAATAGGTAAGAGTTGCAAAACGTGTATGTAGGGGCAGTGGATTCGTGAAGTTTTCAACAAGTTTTACTGGTTTTGCTTAGGAGCTTTATGATTGTTTTTCTGGAAACAATTCGGTCAGTGAAAGTTTACCCCTTAATAGTTTCAGAGGCTATCAATATTGAAGTTTAATAGCAGGGCACACACTAAAAGGCAGGGACACAAACCTGACAGCTTCAGGAGAATTAATTCAAACACTGGGAAGAAAAAAAGACCCTGCTGTGCGATATGGACACACTTGTCACACGATGACGCTGACCTGCACTAGGGACTGGATTCACCTCACCTCACTTTGGCCATCTAAAGTCTTTGCTAGCTTTTTTTAAAAATTTTTAACTCAGATTGGCTTCATGAGAGAATAAATCGATAGAAAATCATAGAATCCTAGACTGGCCTAGGCTGGAAGGGACCTTAGAGATCATTTTAATCCAACCTCGCTTCCATGGGCAGGGACGCCTCTCAACTAGATCAGGCAACACATGGGGACTGAACGGGGATCGAACCCGCGACCTTGGTGTTATCAGCACCATGCTCTAATCGACTGAGCTAACCAGCCCCCAAAAATACCAAAACATAAGAGGTTGATATTTACTCTAAAATTGTCCTTTCCTGCATAGAGAAAAAAAAAATGAGGGGAAGAAAAACATCAGAAACAAGTCTGGCTAAGAAAACATCCTGAGCAAGAATTCAGACCCTTGTGGGCAGGCTGAATATTATCTGATTTAATTTTAGTATTTACTGTTCACTGAAATCTGCCAGCCCCATCTTCTCCAATGCCCCCTGGATTACAGTCCCCGTCTGATACAACGAATGAAGCGAATGACAAAAGAACAAAACACAAATACCAGCCACGGTTCTTGCTGGAACAGATTCTTTGTTGATCCAAAACACGACTTGAGACAGGACTACAGTCATGATGCATGGAATGTATGTCTGAATGAGATAGTAGCCTATTTTCCTTTGGAGATGGAAATAGAGCAGCTGAAGGGAATATTCGCCTAAAACAGACAAGCAATGAAAGGGATGACTGAGCGAATGGCAGATGTGATGCTGAGCTGTTCAGAGAGCGGACTGCGGCATACCAAAAACCGTCCTGGCTGGGACAGACTCCTTGTTAATCCAGAAGGACACCTGAGAAAGAATGACTGTCATGATGCAGGGAGTGTATATCTGTATCATGAAGTAGCCCATCTTCCTTTGCAAGTGGAAATAAACGGTCATGATTACATATTCACCTGTTAAGAGACAAGTATGTCAGCGTTATTTTGGCGACGTGTGAGTAAGCATTATTGGCTTAAACCCAACATACTCTGTTCTGAGGAAAGCACTTACAGGCCTCCTGGTGCATAATAAAAATAAGCCGATTAAGCAAAGGTAAAGTGACCTTATGGAAACAGAGGAGAATAAGATTAAATTTATGTATTGTTTTTACCGAGGCGGGGATGCAGGGGGATTTCTCAGGAACTGCTATTTTGAAAAGCTGTCTGTTAAAGGACAACGGTTCTTTTCTTTCCAAGGATTTTAGGTTTTGAAATGGCAAAAGATAGTTAAACTGATTTGGTACTATGTAAGAAAACCCTGTAACTTATTTTTAAGCTGTGTTTTATAATGTGAGCAGTTCCCACGTGGCTACATCTTACCTGTGTTAGATTTAATTGTTTCACTAGATACAGTTTGTCCTATGAGATCGTACTGGAGGAGACTGGAAGACTCTTGCGGTACTTCCACTGAGTGCAGGGGTCCCTTTTTCCATGTATAAATTATTTCACTTTTTGGATAAGCATCTGGATTGCAGAGGGAAAAAATTACTGTGATTGATGATGTAATTTAGAAGCAACTGAAAAAAATAAGTAGCATGATCCCTTTATGGCTCAAATGCCCACAGAAACAGGCATCCTGCTCCAGCAAGTTCCCAACCTCATTAACGACAAAATGAAAAAAAAAAAAATCAAGAATGAGAGAATGGTTGAGGCGGGACCTGATAGGCACTAGCTTTTGTTTCTTATTTTGCTATAAAACACATGTATTGATTGCCACAGCTCAAGCAAATGTTTTCAAAATTGATTACCACAGACTGACTAAACATTCGCAAAATCAGAAGTAGCATAGTAAATGTACCCCAGCTCTTACATCTTGTTCAAAGGCCCACTTTGACTACTAGATGTGCAAGAATAGAAAACAATAATGCTTCAACAGTCACCCTTCAGGGAATAATTCCATGTCTTTATGAATGGCCTCAGTCTCAGAGAAGAAAGTAAGATTCTAGTATTAAAAAATATAATAAAAATTTCAGCTATGTCATTAAGGAGCGTCCCAGCATCTCACTTCTGATCTTCTCACAAACGTTTAGACCAAACGCATTACTATAAAAAACCGCAAGATACAGAAGAACTTACAGCTTCCAAACTTCAGTGGACAAGCATGTCCATCCATAGGGAAGTTCACCAACCGCATAGGACAATCAGCATTAATGGTTAGTCTAGAATACATTATAGTAGATGACAATGAAAAAAATGGTACGCAGGAACACTGCTGAAAGAATCAAACATAGAGGTCAACTGAAAGCAGTAGGATGGGCTCTCACCTCATTGTGTAAAGAATAGTTCCATTCTGCATAATTCTGAAAAGTTTGTTAGGAGTCGTCATATTATGAGCAATTGATTTTTTCCCATTTCTAAAAAATGTGTCTGGTGTCCAGATTTTACTGACCATTAAATTGTTCAATCTCAAAATTTCAGTTGGCCCACTAAACTTCAACCTCTCATCAGTCCACGTCTGCCGAAAGAAGACATCCATTGTGTATTCCTATGGAAAACAAATAGCTGGTTGGCTTATGTGTGGAGGCCAGCAGTCCCAGGTTGCCCTGTATAGGGTAACTCCATTGAAGAACTTAACGCAAATGTCAGTGGCATTTCATTTACTGCTTAAACACTTAATCCTATTACCAGTACCTAGTCGCAGCAGCTACTGAAAAAAAAAGCAGTCTATGAAAACATATCCTATTTTCTTATTATTTACAGAATAATTACAAATTAATCAGTGAATGGATAATTTGATACGAGTGAGGAAAAAACCGTCATTGTCCTCTCAGAGATAATAACTTAATTCAAAGTGACTGAGGTCTAAGGAAACAAATGTCTAATTTAGAATCCTTTCAAAGCGCAAAACCAAACTATTAATGTTTAATTGCCAGGAACCAAAAGACACGCTCAGTGCCTCTTCTGCAACTTACTTTGGGTATTCGCAAAGAGAGTGAGTCACATCGCAGTAGGATTTTGGTGTCGATTTAATAACAGTCTAAGTTATTTTTCTTCAAGATTCTTAGTAACATTCTCACAAGCCTTCAGAAAGGAGTTCTCTACAGAAGTTCCTCAGGAAATGGAGCTAAAGCTTGGCCAGAGGCAAGTTTCACAAGAAGGTAAGGTTACGCCTTCTCTTAGGGAGCCTCATGAAGAGACACAGAAAAACTTTTGGTTGCGTCTTGGGGCCCACGGGTTCAGGTAAGCAGGTACTGGAGGCAGCACAGAAGGGCAGAACCAGGGATCAAAGTAAATTTCCAGAATAACAGGAATGCTGTCCTCCCTGCAAAGGCGTAACACTTTCCTGGGGCTGCTGCTGTCACTGCTGGAGTTCTGAGTCCGCAGCTCCCTGAATTTGGGGGCGCCCAGCGTGACAAGTGGCAACTGTCCCCGAAACAACCCCAATGCCCGGCAGCTGCTCCTCAGTTGGCTCCTAACTTGCAGCCTTCCTGTGAGCCTGAGTGTCAGGCCACAGACGTTTGAAATCTTGTTAACGAGGCTGAAGAGGCATCTTTAACCTCCCCACGAGGGCCATCACCGAGGCTGGTGTCACCCTCTGTGCCCGGCCTCGGGCCTGGCCTCACCCCGCTGGGGAAATAGCTGGATGCAGCTCCAGCCAAACTGCTCTGCTGGGCCCTAGAGATTGTCAGGAAGATTAAGCCTCGTAATCTGCTTTAATGACGGTCAGCTCAGATGCCACCCGTAATGAACCCCGGGAGAGGAGAGGAGAGCGAGGGGCGGCAAGCGGGGCCCTTACCATCTCCACGTCGGACACGGGCCCGAAGCT